GCTTTTTTTTTTTTTTTTTTAATAATTTATTTATAATTTTTTTTTAACGTAACTTCACTTCTATGTCTCTTGTGCAACAATTTCACAATCACGTTTTTTTAGTTATTGTTCTTCATCATAATAATTTTCATCTTCTGGTGAGTATCATCTCCTCTCACTTTCTCTTGTACTATTTTAATGTTGGTAATTACTCATCACTTCCACTAATGCGCGTGTATTCAAAAGAAAATATCATAAAAACATAATATCTTTTTTGTTGTTGTTAGTAATATATAAAAGCGATAATTTATTTTTATAAATACAAAATTTTAAATTATTTTATCTTTATAATTATTTTCATATCACTCTCTTTTACTATCTATCTTCTACTATCTTTTTTTCTTCTTCTTATACTTCATGCTAATTTTTAACTAACATTAATTTCATTTTTTATTTTAAAAAATAGAGACATGTAATGTTTCTCGTTGATATTCATAATTAGCCTATTTTTGACGAATTTATGGTGGTTCATAAATCATCGAATTTTTTTCAATGCCAACGGTTTCTTTTTCAATTACCAAACTTTATTAGTTATTAATAGTGATGTTTCTTCTTGAAATAACATCGACAGGAACAATAGAATAAAAAATATAAAGTAAAATAGTATATATAAATTTTGATGCTAATCTTACAACTAAAGTTATATGAAAAATTACATCATTTTTTCTTTGAAAAAATCACATATATTGTCAGTATAAATTTTTTTACATTGATAACTAATCATATTTTTTAATTATTTAATAAAATAATATAATATAAAAATATAATTAATTATCAATATAAAAAACTTTATATTTACGTGTATAAATAATTAATTTTTTTTTTCTTTTTCGTCCATAAATATTTCGAAATATTTCGAAACTTGGGCAATTCCGAGGAACGAATACGGTGTTTTGGCCCAACAAAAGGCCCACTAATATCATATCCGAACCTTCGTGTCCATCGTTGTAGCATTTCCGTCCAGCCAAGCTAAGCTTCACCTGTGGCGAACACCTGACAAAAAAATAAAAATAGAAAAAAGAAAAGCTAAGCTTCAGTGCCATGCCTGCAACGCCTTTCTCGTGTTCGTTCCTCACGCTGCAACCGCGCTTCAATTCCTACGTTAACCCTATCTTCCGTTCCCTCAGCTTCCAACTCTCTTCTTCGCCGCTCTCATTCAATGCTAACTTCTCCAGCGTCAGACTCCACTCTTCGCTTTCGCGAGCGGCGGAGACCGATTCTCCGACCGGCGGAAGGTCCGGCGCATTAACTCCCGGTCCCGCCGTCGCCGGCGACGTTCAGAAGATCGACGTGAATCCTCCGAAGGGGACGCGTGACTTCCCGCCCGAGGACATGCGCTTGCGCAACTGGCTCTTCAACCATTTCAAAGAGGTATACATGGTTTTGAACTCAAATCGCTCGATGCTGTTTCGTGCCTATGCATGTTTCAGCTCGATTATTGTTTTTGGTGATGATGTAGTCTTCATTGCTTATTCGTTCATCGTGAGGATTAGGTTTCGCGGTTGTATGGATTTGAGGAGGTTGATTATCCGGTGCTTGAGTCGGAGGCATTGTTCACTAGGAAAGCAGGAGAGGAGATTAAGGACCAGGTAACTCTTTCGCGTCATCGTTTTTTGTTTATACTTTATACTCTCTTTGACATGTTGAGTGAGTATATATACATATGCGTAATGATACATTTATAGTTTATAGCCTATGGAATATAATGGAAGGATTTGTGTGTTTGAAAGAATTGTCCATACAGACATCTCACTATTAAAATCTCAAAAGAGCGGAAAATGTTCTGAAATTCCTAATTCTATTTTTGTCGGTGACTGTGACGTAAATATATTTGGCGTTATTGCGAAGGAATGTCTGTGGACAATGGGTATGATTGTTGAACTCTAGTTATGTAATTTTTACTAAACATTGCTAGTGTTGAACTCTAGTTATGTAATATTTTCCTTCCAGTAACTTGTGCGGATGACTTTATCTGAAAATGTTCTGCACTTCGTAGTTACATATGCTTGGAGCAATGTTTAACTCCGTGTTTCTCAGTTTAGCTTTAGTAGTGCTATTGATGAGTTACTTGGTGTAGTATTGTATTTTCTTGGATGATAACGTATAAGATGGCAACGTTTTGTTCAAAGTTCATTCTCAGGGGTCTCAGATAGACATGCTTCCTCCTTCCTTGTATTGTTGTTTTAGTTGTAGTCTCGCAGATAAGCTTTGAGCTGGTCTTTAGTATGTCAGTGAAGCAGTAGGCAGAACTTGGTTTCGGGAATCGTGTTGGTCAACAAATATCATCGAGCTAACCATTTATGGTTTTCTGATTCTTAAATTCATACGAAGAAGTTCATTAATGTTTGATTATTATTATTATTTTGGTAAATGACTGTGCCCCTTGGTGTTTCCTTGTTTCTGCAGTTGGGGCTTCTCTGTTATTCTGTGTATTACGTGTGGACTATTAATACAGTGAAAGTCAAACAATATACTATGTACAATGAGTCTTGTTGGCATCATTCTGTTCTTTGACTTCATTAGGAATTGCTAGAATAGAGCCAGACCCATGATGTGGCCTTACGGTGTTTAGAGGCTATTGATTTAATTTTCCTAGTAGATCAACCGTAATTTG